GCGCACCCCGTAGCCGGGTGCAGTGAGTGCCTTGGGGCTGGGTGGCCTGTCCTCCGGACGGGCTCAGCCCCGGCGACTCACTAGGGTGCCTGCCCAGACCAATGTCTCCCCCTAATTCCTATCATCCTTCCGGCTCTGCAATGGTCTTGTCGACCGAAAGGGCCTAACCCAACAAAACAAAAACAAACAAACGGTAGTTAATTGACTTTCTTTAGTGTAGACGTTGTCGATACACTTTTTAAAGTCACGCCTGTAATGTGACCTTCGCTTCAGCGCAGCTAAACTCTGGACAAACCACGTCCGGCACCAGCCCATCATCTCAGTCGGAACTCGAACCAGACACGCTAGCGCCACAGACGCCTACTGTTAACGCCAGACGCCTTGAGACCCTAATTTTTCGCGATTATTTTTAAATGCGTGGAAGAATTTCAACCAAGCTCAGGACATGGCCGTTTCAAGACCTGCCGAAACTTTTACAATTAAGATATTTTATCGCCATTTCAATATTTCAGGCACTTCTCATTGACTCGTAATGTTAAATTTCAAGCAAGATTTTCACCCGGTGTGTAGAGGCTATCACCAGTCAGCCTGTGATACGTTATGACGTCACAGCTAAGCCCCGCCTCTGTGGTCTTGGCCTGCGGCGGTTTCGGGCCGGCGCGCGGTCACTCTCGCTGTGGCGGGGAGCGGGGACGGTCGAGCGGTGCCGAAAGCCGGCGGAGTTGTGCGTAACGTCGTGGCTGACAGAACCCAAAGAGCGACATAATGACTGATGAGCCATAAATGCTCAATGCGCATTGCTTGTACAATGCTGATATGTTCGCTGATACTTGTTTCATTTTTTATAAGCTGCAAATGACGGGCAGATGGCATATAACTGACATAAGGTTAGGAAATATTCACCTGTATTTAAAGCCTATGGCGTTGCAGATAATGCAATAATAGGATGTCGGATGTTACCAAGTAGCTGCCGATTTGTACATCGCTATGCAACCATCGAACAACGCAATAATAAGTTAATTGCCGTCGCTTCACATCATAAGGCTCGCTCGTATTTCAAACAGATATCCTACATCGAAAATCGTATTTGTTAGGAATCGTTCACGTTTGTTCGAAGCACGTGTGAGAAGTAGGTTGAGGAGTGATGGTCCTCTTGGTCCTATATACAAGAGTCAACAAGAACCTAACATTTACTTGACCGTCTGCTGCAATTGATTCATAGCACGTGAAGCGTCAGCGAAATTCATAGTCCTTTACAGATGGCAGGGGTGTCGTTTGTACAGAGGTCGCTGATGGGCACGGGTCAATGCCGCAGTCGTGGGCGGAGCCTAATGTCATATGACGTATGAAAGCCTCTATCCAGGATGGAAAAACAGTTAACATTACGAGTCAATGACAAGTGCCACAAATATTTAAGTGACAACGAAATGTATTTGAAGAAAAAGTTTCGGCAGGTCTTGAAACAGCTACTTCCTAAATATTGTTGAAATTATTCCACGCATTTTAAAAAAAAAATCGCGAAAAATTAGGGTCTCAAGGGGTCTGGCGTTAACAGTAGTCGACGCCCGACCTCGAGCGTCGTCGCGGCAGCAGCACAGTGATAACTTTCGTCTGCTCTAACCATAATCATAGTACCCAAGCCATAATTGTGAGCCGTCTCGTGTCCAGAGCCTACTTGCCACTTGGCGAGGACGAGAACGACGCCAGCTGCCGCCTGGAGGCTTGGTGAGTTTCACCTCGAGGGGCTGCGGCCGCCAGTGTTGATTGAACTCTCGTGATGGTGTCGACTGTCGATGTATGCATTGGTGGTGAAGTTCCTCATTCATTCTCAGGCCATGGCAAAGCCCGGTCCAAGTACCCGTAACCAGACCGTGGTCCTGGTCCTGAATGTCCACCCAGCAGAGCTTCCTCCAGCTCCAATGGTCTCTTACACTGGCGGATCTGCAGGGAGGGGGCATTTAGGGCTATGCCCCCTCAAAGGCCTAAAGTGGTCTGTTTGCCCCCCCCCCCCAAACGATAATGAAACATAGTTCAATCAGTGCGTGGCCCAGGAGCCGAGTTAAACAGGGGGTGTTTACCACCTCCCGGCCCGCAAAGGTTGCTCCAAGCACCGACCCGGAGCGGGTTAACTGGTCGACAAAAGCAATGTGAAGTGTTTATACAAAGTGATGTAACGGCATGGGTCGGGTGGGTTACCATTTCTATATTTTTTCTTTTTAGTTAAAAAATGTTCATCGTGTCAGGGCTGTGACGAAAAATAAGTGGCCTAAATCCGATGAGAAAATAGGATTTGGGGGTACGCTAGGTTTGGCTCCTACATGAGTTGCCCCCCCCCCCAAAAAAAAAAAACGCAAATCTGGATCCGCTAGTCTTCCTCGCACGTAGCTTTCGTGGAGAAGCGATGTTCTCCGATGATTCCTGAAGCAGAGGAATGCTGCTAGCGCAGAAGAGTGTCGCAGAAGCGTGTCGGCCATGACGGCCGATATCAATGTTAGCCGTGCGAAGTCAAGGCTCGACCTCCCACTTATCCGGACAAAAAAAATTGGAATGGAGTGCGCTCAAGAGCAAGACAGAAACGTAGAAAACGCCGTATATCATGTGTGTTGGCATTCTTACTGCATTTTACCTAGTCAGCGACATGGATATTAGCTTTTAGCATAACATACTGTCAGCAGGATGAGTATCACTCAGGTAGCAATTCTTGGATATGTTGCGCTAGGAAAGTGTTTTAGTAAATGTTTATGCAACAAATGTATTGATTCGTTGAAAGATCGCAAGCTGAAGCGAGAACGCATTTATACGGTTTACGTGAAAATGACACCGAAGAAAGCCTATGGAGACTGCAACGCCTGAAATTGTCAGGAAAGGGTTACGATAGACGAGGTGCGCTGGTTCTTAACATTAAATGAAAATTTTTTAATCATCATTTCATGTCATAATAAGGCTAGATGCATGTGGTTTTTGCTATAGGAAGTGAATTAATTTTTTTGACCCCACTTTCGAGACACCCTACTGGCCATCTCTCCAGCTCAGCTCAGTCAGCGACGAAGTGGTGCTCGTCGTATCTCCTGTACGACTCTCCACATTTAACCCGCTGCCCTCTGGGCCTCCTCTGCGTTGTGACCGCGACTCGCAGTACAGTCCCAGCGGCTTTCAAAATTCGCCTGACCGCTCCGGGGCTCTGATCGGCGCCCAGCCCATCCCGACCATAAATCGGGAGTCGTTTGGCCCAGAAAGCGGCAATCACGGGCCGGCTTGTGGCAACGGGAGCGCCAGAGATGACTCCGTTTTCCGCTGAGTGGCGCAGAATTGCTACCAGACGAGCTGGGTGTCGATTCCGACCGAATGACAAACCCCGGTCTGCTAACTGGCGCTGGTCAGTGGGCGAACCTTGTGGGTGTTATATGGGAGTGAGTTCGTATTGATTCATCAGCAAACTCATTCATGGGGTAGTTATAATGTAGGAGCAGATTAGAAGGGACTCGATGAACGGAACGCATATGGTTCGCTCGTACGGCCGTCAGCCGACGGCCGCTGACGATCTGATTTTAGAACGGCTGTAGTGAGGCGTTAGAAGTGGATGTTGAAAACGATAACCACTCAACTGCGTGCTTTCGGCCGGTCGGCGTAATTTAGTGGTGAAAGTTTAACGACCCGAAGAAATGGATGTCTCGGCCGAGATGATATGCCCGGATTTTCGTGGCTGCGCCACCCACAGGCAGCGGGGAAATTCCAAACCCGGTCACTTATCTCTGATACGATGAAATATACGATGGTTTAGCTTTCAACAGATTGAGTAGAGTGGATATATTTGTACCACTTGAAGTATGTTCCCGAGACTGTCCTTGAAACACATAGGGGAAAGTGGGGTAAGACGGTCAGGGTAGGTAAGACGGGCACCTCCTCTGCAGACCAAACCAATAGGGCTACGAGCGAGAAAAATTAGGACCAGAATTGCCTTTCCCACTACACACCACCATAGAAGTCTGGTGAATTTGTGTCCAGTCGATAATCTTTTATTTTGATTTCTTCAGAACACTCATTTCATTGAAAACATCCATAATGTATTGTGCAAGCTTTTGTGTGCAGCATTATAGAGTTAAAAACTCGCAACCACTATGTGGTACACTCATATGCCACTAGCCATCATTTACCGCGGATTTGCTTTGTCTGCATCAAATTGTCCACAGAGAAAAATCGTGCTGAACTTCTGACATTGAGTTTGGGGTAAGACGGGCAACTATGAATCCAATGGGTCTGTAATGGTGAAAATATTTTTGTTGCTGTAGGAAAAAAGAAGCATTTCTAATAAGAATATGTTCGATTCCGATACTCAAAGACATGCTAGCAATATTACTTCGGCACAGTTTATTTTCGAATAATGAATGTGAAACACGGTTCTACATGGCTTCTGAACATAGGGCCTATATACGAGCATACGCCTTCTGCACGAATCTCGTATACTGCCATTTCCGAAGCACTTGAGAGTTGAGACCAACGAGCGACTGTATCAATGCGGGTAATCTCGGGCATTTGTTGCGAGCTGTGCTGGTCGGTGAAAGAAGCTGGCCGTCTTGCCCTACCCATGTGGCCGTCTTACCCCATGGGGTGGGGTAAGACGGGTTTTTGCAATGTTTTGCAAAAATAGCTGTATGTAGTTTGTTGAATCAGATCTAAGTCTCATCTTCTGGCAAATGGATGTAAAATGTCTAAAAAAGGTTTTCACTCAGTTTCCCGTTCCTATGATGTTTCTAACCGGCCGAAAAATGGCTCCAAAGTTAAGGTGCCCGTCTTACCCCACTTTCCCCTACACTATACAAAATATATTTAAATTAGATTGACGCATAGACCTCTGTATACATTGACGGAAATTGACATATTTGACATAATTGACATAACATAATTGACATGACATTGACATAATTGATTGACGGAAAGTACATATTTCAATGAAATGGTAGTAGCTCGCCGTTTCTGTTCTGCCGAGACAAACAAACGCCTTGTTTTGTAAATACACGAACACAACGGGACTTTATTTCAGCTCGAATGGCCGTGTCAACATTCACCCGCAACAACATCACTGACATTCGCAGTATCCGAAAGACAAATCGTCCTTCCAAGCAATGCCAGGCGACAGGCTGGCCGCGGCTCTCGCATTTCTCGGTCATGACGACATCTCCAAACAAACTGTACACCGTTCCCCGGTCGCGCCCGCAGTAATGGACCCCTTCCGGACCGGGCCGCCGCGCTCGCGTCAACAGCGGATGCCGACGATTTACTGACGACATCATGCTCACGTTTTTCGCGACGGCTCACTACGCAGCGGCCCCATAAATCTACTGGGAAACTTCAATATCTGGCGCCGATAAATCGGATGAGATCCCGGCAGAGATGCCATGAGCTCTCCTCTGCCACATTCGAATTCGCTCGGCGGCCGGCCCAGTCGAACGCCGGCGGGCGGTGCTGAACCCGGCCAATCAGAGTAGAGTCCGTCTGCTAGCCGCAGGCGGTATCTGAGAGCCCGACCGACCCCATAATGCGAGTGTCTGGGACGGGCAATGGGTCTGTCCAGGATGGTCACTTCACTGCTCCGATAAACGCAGTCGCAATATATCGACGAATCAGTCAGGTAGAAAAACTAGCTGCGATGGGGGCAATGATAAATCCCTCTGAGGTCAGATTCAAATGGGTGGTGGAAATTAAGGTCGGAGAACATTCGAAGCACGCCCGCTGACCCCCACTAGAGTCTACGGTGGACTCCGCGCGGAATAATAAATGTCGGAAAGTAAATGACCGTTGTACATCACTGAGAGACAAAACAGCTCACATTTTGTTAACAAAGAAGCTCTTGGGGAACAGGCAGTCACAAAGAACACTCACAATGCCGCGTGACACAACGAGCTTCGTACGTATAGAATCCACGAACACACTCTTTCACATTTGCTCACAATATACGATTTCCTCAACCGAACAAAACCAGCACAGCAGTTCACAGCAGTGAACAGCAGTGAAGATAACAACTAATTCAAGACGGGAACGAGAGCTTAACACCCAGCTTCTCTTATACTAACACCTCGTCTCAACCATTCCGGAAAAAAATACAACGCAATGAACCCTACAGATTAAAAAAAAGCCTAACATTTGTCATCGATATTCAGTAATTCATATCTTAGTAGCCTTCGGAGCCATCTTTGCGTCATTTGAAAACAAAAGGTACAGTCAACATTACGAACCTCGACGCTACATAAATTAGACGATAGCATTCGTCCTGTCTCTCTTACCGTAGACCCAGGCCCGGCTCTGTCCCAGCCTATTCGATAGAACCCCTCTGATTTCACCACATCTGTAGACTGTAACCACGGCCCTCAGCTGAGCACTCTCGACCCGGCCTTTGTTTTACGCACCAGTCGGGAACGTCTCTTCTGATGACGTCATCACGGCTTCCTGTTGTCAGTGGTCCACCTAATTTGTAGCCACCATGTGATTCACTGCCTGATCTGTCCGCTAGCGGCTGACAGCTGACGGAGAACACTCGGTCAGTGACCTCTGACGTCACAGGTCACAGCGCAGTTCGGGGTTACGTTTCAGCATACCTCGGCTGCGAATCGTCACCCGTCGCCAGCCTAGCAGCAGCTTCCATCAGCACAGGTCTGAGCCTTAGCACCGCTTCATTGGCTTTATTTTCCAAGCCACGACCTGCCCCCGCCGGTTGGACAGGTAAAGCCCGACCCAAACGCGTCACCACTAGTGACGTCATCGCGTCAGGAGGTGTGACGTCACCAGTGGGCCGCGCGGTATCTGGAGCCCTAGATCAGCCACCGAGCGGTTGCCATGACGACCAGTGACAGGGCGGCCGATATCGTCGCGACTCCGTTGGTCTGCATCGCGGCAGGCTTCTCCCCTGGGAAAACGGGGCAGCTTCAGCGTCAGCGGATACACAGCATGTGTAGACGCGGTGGTGTTTATCAGGGGCGTGGTGGTCTCCCGGAGAATCTCACGTCGAATTAGAGACTGCAGGGGAGACCCGAGATCTCAATAAAAAACGCAGCCGCCACTTAGCGACCAACAGCCGATAGAAAAACAGAAACAAGACTGACGCTAACCTTGTCAACACAAATAATACAGTACCAGAAAGCCGAGAGGAAATATGTTGAAGAAATACGTTTGACAAGAACAGTAGTTCACACAGACCGGCATTCGAGACAGCAGCCGGCTGTAGCTGTTTTGACATTTGCAGTGTTCGGAGGCGTGGGAGCCCCCAGGTGGTGGCCCTAATTTAGCTCCACCTTTGCTGAGCACATCTATCCTCAACGTCCAGACGTCCAGCCCACCATCACGTCTTGTCCACCCTCACGTCCGACACATGGCTTCGTCCAGCACACAGCTTTGTCTAACACATCGGCATGTCTAGCACAGGGTCACGTTCAACAAAATGTCGCCTCCGACACATCCACTTCCAACCAACCACCACGTCCAATGTATCGTGTCATCAACCACACGACTACGTCCAACACACAGTTACGTCCATCACCAGCCCGTCCCAAGTCACAGCAATTTCCACCACAAGCGTAGGCGTAAATTGGTGACATTCAATTAACTTGGCTATGATGATCATCCGATCACCGGCCTACAGAGCTCCATACGCGTCACGAGAAACCCAACCCACCTTTCAGCACGTGGACCTTGACCTTGGCCACGTTGGCGTTGGAGGGGGTGCACGTGTAGATGCCCGAGTCCTCGACACGTGCGTTCCGTATCATGAGGTACGAGTTGGTGGTCGCGGCGGCAGAGTCCTCAGTGATGACGGTAACCCGGCCTGGTGGCGCGCTGTAGTTGACAACCTGCAGCGAATACGGAGAGAAAAAAATCAGAAGGCGTAGGAAACAGTATGAATTATACTTTATATAATTTATAATTTAGATAGTGAGAATGAATTAGAGTGAGTTGCGTTTGGTTTGGGTTTGTGCGACTGTGGGCCGCAGAAGGCAGCAGGCTGCTCCGGCCGGCGGAACCACTGTACTGGTAGACTGTGCCGCTGGACACCGGTGTCGTGCGGTGCAGCCTACCAGGCCAGTGACGCTGCGCCGGGGCATCCAACGCGACGGCCGCGGCAGTGAAAGTGGAGGCTATGCTTTTTGGCTCCATTTGACTGTAAAATTGTTTCTGGTTCTACTAGACTTATGAGGTGTCTGAATATCTGGAATTTAACCCACCCAGTTGAGTGTTTATTACTACTGATTTACACGGTCATAGGATAATGTATAAGAGCAATTTCTGGCATGCGCAATGGCAATGGGAAGCAGCACTGCACGTATGAAAACATTGCAATAGAATGAGCATCTAGAACGTTGTCAATCTTTTTATGACAAAATTTAGTCGTTAGAACACGAATTCAGATTTTTCAATAGAGTATAAGACGTTTTCAAAGGAGCTATTAGCTAGAGTTGTAGCAGACGTCTTTGCAAGCTGGTCCCAAATAAATCTAAATTTGTTCTGCACATAGAAACAAAAATAACACGTTAGATTTTTTCAAGAAGACGGAAACCTTCATTCACATTAGTAATTTAATTATCGTTACAAAATACGGTCATTACTCATCATGAAAGCGATAGGCCTCTAAAATATCACTTCCGAATTTTCAGTAACATCCATGTTTTCCCATTTTACTGCCTATCAAACACCATTTTTATCACTCCTCTATTTTTTTCGTTCCAGAAATGAGACCAAAGCACACATTTAAGAACCACAGATAACACTTGGGCGGGGTGCCAAACGCGCGTTTAATAAGCGGTTTTACCGCAAAAACACCTCAGTCATATCATATAAAATCAGCGGCTGGGCCACATTGAAATGCAGCTCGCTTGGAACGAGAGTGGCGCGGCAGATTCAATCTCTGCGGGGGCTCGGCTGCCGCGGATGGCGGTGCATAATGATAGCCAAAACGGCCGCGCGCTGCCACTGACGGACACAAGGCAGCACATATGGACGACCGACGGTTTGGGGCCAACGGGAACGGGGCGCATCGATATCACTGCCCACTGAATGGGCCAGTGGGTCCATCTGCAGCCCTGCAAACGTCAGGATGAATATCAAAAGCTTAACACCAAACTCTCTCCTCTCTCTCTCTCTCTCTCTCTCTCTCTCTCTCTCTCTCTCTCTCTCTCTCTCTCTCTCTCTCTCTCTCTCTCTCTCTCTCTCTCTCTCTCTCTCTCTCTCTCTCTCTCTTGTCGCGGAGGCGCGGAAGTAGAGAGAGACTGAGCGGGCCGAGACTTGTATTCCAACTGTGGTTCTGATTCTGATTCGCCAGTGCCTGTGCGTTATATGCATGGTGGTTGCACAATGAAGGACCGGTCCGCCGACCCGCCGGGTCGGTGGACGGTGCCGACACGTGGGGAAAGTGACGGCTATTTCTATGTAACAAAGCTTGAACGTGTACTCTCTTTATCACGATATGGAAGAAGGGAATCGGTCCCACATTATCTTCCCTCCCCCAGGGAAGCGTAGGGAACCGAAGCGATCATAACAAAGAGAGGAAACGTTTAGCTGACGGAGAAAGAAATTTCCATATGAGCGTATCACAAAATGGTATGAACAGATAAGTAAGTTTCGTGACAATTACACCTACTACCGGGCGATCCCTCCGCACTCTTGGCGGGGACCGTCCCTGGGCATCTCCATGGCCCTCGGCATCTCTGGCCGAATATCAATACAATATAATTTCAGTGAATTGACAACGATTAACGTATTTGAATGTTCATACCGTTCAGAGTATGCTCTTTCTACGTTTACTAGTGTCAAAATGACACGGCAAAGTGCAGGCAAAATTTAAATGCACTTGCAATTTCTCCGTAAATTTTGGGGTGAGCAACCACAATGAAGCGCAACAAACGACAAAACACTGACGAAAACGGATAATGAAACAGTATGGTTTTGAAACACAATGAAGTTAAAACAAATTTCACAGCACAATTTCACTGTCACTTTTTGACGAAAATACAGCAAAAGTTCATGATGGGTGAATTTTCTTGATTTCGGTGCCAATTTGTCTTGAATTTAGCGTTGAAGTTTTTGTTTTATCTTCTCTCCTTCGAGCTTGAGTCCTTCAGCGAGGTGGTGTCCATCACTCGATGACGGTGAGGAGGACGGCGCGGACTGATGAGCCGTGCGCTGTCGGCGGGCTCCGTAGTAGTCCAGGGTAGCTGATGACCTTGCCGCAGGGCAGATAGTCTTGCTGGGCAGAGCTACTCACTGGAGACGGTGCTGCTGGACGATGACGAGTCCAGGATGGTCAGCTCCCTAGTCGATGACGTGACGTAGGGGCGATACACTGTCACGGAGCACGGACTAACCAGTCTGCGATGTCAGTGCAGATGTAGAGGCTGGAGTCCGTTGTGAGGGGCACAAGTCCCCTCGACCGCCGCTGCCACCATTGTCGCGGAGGCGCGGAAGTAGAGAGAGACTGAGCGGGCCGAGACTTGTATTCCAACTGTGGTTCTGATTCTGATTCGCCAGTGCCTGTGCGTTATATGCATGGTGGTTGCACAATGAAGGACCGGTCCGCCGACCCGCCGGGTCGGTGGACGGTGCCGACACGTGGGGAAAGTGACGGCTATTTCTATGTAACAAAGCTTGAACGTGTACTCTCTTTATCACGATATGGAAGAAGGGAATCGGTCCCACACTCTCTCTCTCTCTCTCTCTCTCTCTCTCTCTCTCTCTCTCTCTCTCTCTCTTTCTCTCTCTCTCTCTCTCTCTCTCTCTCTCTCTCTCTCTCTCTCTCTCTCTCTCTCTTTCTCTCTCTTATCCTCTCCCTCTCCATCCATCTTACTCTCCTTTTCCTTTCCCTCCCACTCTCCCTTTTCCTTGCTCTCCCTTCCCTTCCCTTCCCTCTCCTCCCTCTCCTCCCTCTCCTCCCTCTCCTCCCTCTCCTCCCTCTCCTCCCTCTCCTCATTCATACACTGACCGTTTCGTTGCGATACCAGAAGATGAACTCAGTCGGCACGGGACTCGATGAGACAGTGCAGGTCAGGTTCAGAGTGCTTCCGAGGTCCACGTAGATCTCTGTCTCCCCCAGAATCCTGGTCTCGGGCACTGGAACAAACCGAATCGGCTCGTCATTCACACGCTGAGGGCGAAAGATGGTGTTCACACACGCAAGAAAACGATAGAATATGCTGGTTTGAACTTCTGCTGAATTGGATTGTGAGAAGATGTTCGTTCCCGCAGCCAGGCCAATCAATTAACCAGATGAGTTCAGATGGTAGAAGAGTCGCCTGATTAGCATGCCGGCACGTCCGCTGGGCTCGTCTTTCGAGAAAGGCCTCTTATACTGGTGAGCTATCCTCCGATCAGTATAGGAAAGTATATTTAATCCGGCCCCGACCCGAAATGAAACTTGGTTCGGCTGGCGGCGGCGGTCCGTTAAATCCGCCAGTTTACTGTCGGCGGCCGGGCTTACCCGGCAGCGCCGATAGTTTCGCGAAATCCCATTAATGTGGGCTCTAACCAGGAGCTATCGCGGTGGCCGCTGCACCGTCGACCGGGGGCACAGAGACGAGGCGGACTGCGCGACACAGAGCAGCACTTTGGCGCCGCCGCGGCGCGTGTCAGCGACTTGTCATTGACCGGAGGCGACGGCGGGCGGCGGCGGACGCCCCTGTCACCCGCAATGGACGCTCGAACGCCCCAGGCGCCGCCCGAACGTTGTAGGTCACGGGCCGGGCCATGCTTCAATTACGGACCGCCCGCCGAACCTACGCCAATTACGGTCCGGCCCGGAAGCAGTAACTTAGGTGGCCGCCGGAAGGGATACGACGGTATCGGCTGCGCACTGTGGGGTCATGGGCTACCATTGCAGGGCTAGGAGACTGCTTTCTGATGCTTTGTTGATTTACGGTATAAGTGAATGTTTGGTGATGGCTTTAGAGAAACGGGTAGGGAGGAGGGAGGGAAACAATATGTCTATGGAGATATCGGGAAGATAAGCTTAGCTTGCTCAATTTATGGTAGCAAAATAACGCACACCTAATATTATCGCTTGATCTATTGTATGTTTAACAAAAAATGTAAGATTTGATCAAAGGTAGCTGTTGTGGGAAACGGTTAGGGCTTTGAGACACTACAAATAAAAACAAATAAATAATATATTCAGGCTTTCATAGCAAAAGGGTCATCTGGCAGCGTGCCAAGGGCGAAAACAATATGGTAAGGCGAAGTTGTTTAGGTGAACAATTGGTGGTAGGAACGGACAAATAAGACAGCGGCATAGCGGAGAAATGCGGACCGTAGATAGAAGTAGTAGCAGTGTAGCAACGTAGAATGTAGAATGTAGAATGTAGGTAGGTTTCTGAAATCAGCCAGAAACGCATTTTCACTCTCTATCCGATAGACATGGGTCTACCTATCGCCGAAATGTCTCTAATATCATATCAGGCTCATATCACATTAACAATGCAATAGAAACGGCAAATAATATAAAATAATGAAAGAACATACCAAAGTTTTTCCACCGAATCACATTGTGGCGAACGGCGGCGCACAAACTCCATGCGTCTCACGCCGGCGCCACACAGCCAAAAAACGCCACGTCGATGGGCGGCGCACTGGACTCTCTGCGCCACCACTGGCTTAGGGTGGCGCCACCATCCAATGGTCAGTACGAACATCGTCGCCCCCTGTGTCCACAACTAGCGCCACCTGTCGAGCAACGCACAGGCCAACCCGCTCCGGCTCAGTCCGCTACATCCTCCCCCCGGTGTCGTAATGACACCTCGTTGAGCGGGGATAACGGAAGCCTGAACACAAAACCTCTTCGGTACGTTGCCCACTCAGCAGCCACAGCCGCGCGCACACATATACAGCGTTCATCCTGAAGACACCACGCCTCGCACGGTATCGGCTTCGCTGCCGAAGTCACAGCTCCGGAGAGCAGCAGTCATCTCCGCCGCCCACTGCCACCAGCTCCGTGCGGCAGGCGAGCTCCCGCAGTACTAGCTCCGGAGAACCACCAGGTCGCCGCAGCCTCGGAGAGCACCAGCTCGCCGCAGCCGACGAGCGTCTCTGCCACAGCTCCGGAGAACACCAGCTCGCCGCGGCCTTGGAGAGCACCAGCTCGCCGCAGCCGACGAGCGCACCAGCTCGCCGCAGCCTCGGAGAGCACCAGCTCACCGCCGCCTCGGAGAGCACCAGCTCGCCGCAGCTGACGAGCGCACCAGCTCGCCGCAGCCTCGGAGAGCACCAGCTCGCCGCCGCCGATGAGCGTCCCCGGACGCAGCTTCGGAGGACTCCAGCTCACCTCAGCCGACGAGCACCTCCGCCGCAGCTAGCCGCCATCAGGAGGGATCTGTTAGGAAGAAACAAAAGGAAAACATAGGATACTTGGGATATACGTGATAGGACAGCACTGTCGTCACCAACATAACAGCCATCCTTCAACACAGTTCTGACACAGAACAGTTCTGAGCTTATTCAGCCTCCTCCAGGAGGCACACTTTGCTGACCGGGCGCCGGTACTTGCCTCCCCCCGCTGCCATCAGTTCCACGGTACGAACTACTCCGTCCGAGCCCGGGAACACTCTTGTAACTCGGGCCAGGGGCCAGAACCCGCGTGGCGAGTCTGCCTCAATCATCAGCACGACGTCTTCAACTTTGAGATTTCTTCTCTCGCGCAACCACTTCTGCCGACTGGCTAGTGTTGGTACATATTCATTTCGCCATCTCTTCCAAAAATGTTCTGCCAGTACTTGTGACTGACGCCAACGTCGTTTGCTGCTGATCTCTCTGTCTTGAAATATGCCAGGAGACATGTTGGCGCTGGCACACCCGAGCAGAAGGTGATTTGGCGTCAGTGGCTCAATATCCGTACTGTCAGGACTGACGTGTGTCAGCGGCCGTCCATTGATCATTGACTCCACCTCGAGCAGAGCAGTGTGGAGTACTTCATCGGTCACACACTGAGATCCGATAGTTACTCTGAGCGCGCGCTTTACGCTGCCCACCAGCCTTTCCCATACGCCGCCCATGTGGCTGGCGCTGGGAGGCATGAAAGTCCACTTAATGTTTTCCTGACTCAGTTCGTCAGTAATGCGAGTTTGGTCGAGTTCATGTAGAGACTCACGGAGCTCACGTTCACCTCCGACGAGGTTCGTCCCATTGTCAGAGTACATTGAGTCTGGCTTCCCTCTCCTTGCCATGAATCTCCTCAGTGCCATGACGAAACTGTCCGTATCTAAAGCGTTTGCTACCTCCAGGTGTACTGCGCGGGTCGAGAAGCAGGTGAACAAGACGCCGTATCTCTTCTCGGTCCTCCTGTACTTCTTCACGAACATTGGCCCGAAGTAGTCGACTCCTACCGTGCTGAAAGCTCTGGACGTGTCATACCGGCTGGCCGGCAGCTCTGCCATTCTTGGGACCTGCGCAATCGCTCTTCGTCTTTTGCACACGGTACACTCGTGTAGGATCCTCCGGACTGTCGAGCGGGCCTTCAGAATCCAATATGTCTTCCTGACTTCTGTCAACGTTCTTTCTTGTCCTGAGTGAAGAACCTTCACATGGCAGTGCGTCACTACCAGGCGAGTAACGTCGTCTCTCGATGGCAGGATCACCGGGTGGCGAGTCGAATAGGCCACGGGCGCTTTGTCGATACGCCCACCGACTCTCATCACACCCTCACCATCCAGGAAAGGTGTCACTTGTCGCAGTTTCCCTTCAGTCTTCACTTCTTTGCCAGCTTGGATCTCTGCCAGTTCTTCAGGGAAGCATCTAGCTTGACAGTCTTTCAGTACCTTCGTCTCTGCTAGCTTCAGTTCCTCTGCTGACAGAGGTCCTGCGCGTCTCCGGTCTGCTCGTTCCTGACAGGACTTTGGGGCACAGTTCTTCACAAACCTCAGTACCCATGCCACGGTTCTTCTGTACTTCGTCCACGAAGAGAATCTCGAAGCGTCGGGAAGCACCGTAGTATCAGAGTCATGCTTCACAGTGAGCATGACCGATTCCGTCCTCACTTCTGGGTCGTTTTTCAGTACAGCCGTACTCGTGAGAGATGGCTGTTCCGGCCAGCAGTTCTCCTCCTGGAGCAGGAACCCAGGACCCGCACTCCAGCGAGAATCTGATGACAGGTCAGACAACGTAGCTCCCCTGGAAACAACGTCAGCTGCGTTCAGACTCGACGGCACGTGTCGCCACTGGTCAGGGCAAGAAGACTCTCGAATTTCTGCCACCCTATTAGCGACAAATGTGTGAAAGCGGCGGCTGTCATTTTTCACATACTGCAGAACAACTGTGCTGTCGGTCCAGAATAGGACCCTATCCACCCTGACCGACAGCTCCGTCCGTAGCACGTTTGCTACTCTGACGCCCAGCACAGCTGCTTGCAACTCCAGCCTTACAATTGAGATCTGCTTGAGGGGTGCCACCCTGGTCTTCGCCATAGCCAAGGAGCAGACGCGGCGACCATCAGGCATCGTCGTAGCGACGTACGCGGCAGCACCGAAGGCATCCTGAGAAGCATCACAGAAGATGTGACGCTCTCTCCGACAGCCGTCACTTGCCGACCCGCCTCCGAAGCATCGCGGGACGGTTACCCGCTCCAGATAGTGTAACTCCGAGAGCCACTGAGACCACCTCTGCAGCTCCGTCCCCTCGAGCTCATCGTCCCAGTCGTAGTTCCCCGCCCAGAGGCGTTGAATGAGAACTTTAGCCTGGAGAGAGAACGGAGCGACTAGGCCCAGAGGGTCGAATAGTCGAGCTACTCCTTGCACTACTCCTCTCTTCGTTGACGGTACACGTGAGTCAACAGCTCTGACTCCCAAGGTGTCGTTGATGGTGTTCCAGGCGCAGCCTAGCACACTCTGAACCGCGACATCGATGTCTTGAACGCGCTCTGCGGCTTCGATCCGTTCCAAGACCTTCCGCGAGCTGCTCATCCACTTTGTCAGCCTGAACCCCCCTCTTCTGAGAAGTTCTGTCACCTCGGTTTGCATCTCAGCTGCCTCTTCTTCGGTTCTCGTAGCGTGGATGAAGTCATCCATATAAAAGCTTGTAAGTGCCGCTTCTCTAGCTGCTCTCCCTGCCGGGGTGCTACTGCTGCAGTCCTTAGCGGTCTGCTGCAGGACGAAGTTTGCTGATGCGGGACTGCTTCTGGCCCCGAAGATCGCGACCTGCATGGTGTATGGTTCTGGTTGCTTCGTTGCATCCAAATCTCTCCAGAGGAACCTCAGTGCTGGTTGATCTTGCGGAGTTATCTGGACCTGGTGGTACATACACTCGATATCAGCGGTCAGAGCGACGGGTTCCTCTCTGAACCTCAGGAGGATGCCGGGCAGGTTCTTAAGAAGGTCAGGTCCCGTGAGCAGCACATCATTCAGAGAAGTGTTGCCACACTTGGCAGCCGCATCAAACACTACTCTGAGCTTCCCGGGCTTCCGGGGGTTCGTTACACCATGATGTGGCAGGTACCACTTCCTTGGGTGTGCTTCTTGATCTTCTTCTGGGGTTAGCTTGCGAGCGAATCCGCGCTCGACGTATCCCTCGACAACCTTCTTATAAGCTTCCGCTTTCTCAGATTGTCGCATCAGGGTCTTCTCCAGGGAGTACAGCCGGTTGGCCGCCATCATCTTGTTATCAGGTAGGCACACATCATCACTCATCCACAGGAGTCCCGTCTCGTAGCGATTGTCCAGTCTCCTGGTTGTGTCTTCCATGATCTTCACGGCTCTGACGTCTTGGGGAGATTTGGCATCCTGGCCTTCAAACCTGCTCCCAAACGATTCCGTGCTCCACCACTCCTGGAGTGCTGCTGACAGTTGATCGTCTGGAGCCATCTTCCTGATCAGCATCACCTGGCGCGTTCGTTCTGGCAGGAATCCCTTCACCGTGCCCGTCAGCGTCCACCCGAAGGCGGTTCTGATGGCCACCGGTTGGCCCGCCTTCCCTGTCCTCGCTTCCAGCTGAAGCACCGCTTCAAGGACGTTGGCGCCGAGAAGAAGATCGACCCTCTTCCCTGAGCAGTCTGGAAGGTCGAGGTCCAGCAGGTGCTTCCATTCGATCCTCTTGTCAGGGAGCTCTGGAACCGTAACGTTGATGTCCCTGACGGAGAAAACTTCAGGGACCACTATTCTTGATCCGTCGCCACCTGACGCCTTGAGCTCCAGTTTCATCTTCACGGAGTTCTGGAGGCGCCCGCATCCTTCCACGTTTTGCAGGCGGAGGGTTTGTGGCTCCCCTTGAAGATTCAGCTGTGTCATTACCTCTTCGGACACCAGTGAAGTCTGAGAACCAGGGTCTAGTAGAGCCCAAACCTGCTTTTCCTTGCCACCACTGGCAAGGACGGTGACTGGTACGACCTGCAGCAGGATTGTGGTCGCGCCCGCCTTCACTGATGCTGCTGCTACCACGCGCTGGCCAGTGTTCCTGAGGTCGACCCTCTTGCTGCCATGGAGCACCTGATGATGTCTCATCTTGCAGCTGTCGATGCCGCACGGCCTTGCCGAGCGACAGTGCCGAACGCCATGTCCAGCCTTCAGACAGAAGAAACAGCACCTCGCACTGGCGATGAAGTGGGCTCTTTCATCAACCGATTTCTTCAAGAAAATCGGACACGTTGTCACCTCATGCTGGTCCTTGCAGCATACACAAGTCGTCCCTGATGTATCAATCTCTGTGGCCAGAGCACTTCTTTGGACGGGCCTCAGCTTCACGTCGCCCTTCCACCGCTGAGGCTGTCCTGCCGGCTTCTTGCCAGTCGCCGTATTCTGCTGTGGAGACACGGCAGCGTAGTTGAGGGCCACCCTGACCTGCCTGCGAAGCCATTCGTCAAAGTGCACCAGTGTCGGCCTCTCTCCCAGGTTCAAGACATATTCTCCCCATAGACGTTTCATCTCAGATGGGAGCCTTTGAACAACTCGTCTGAGGTTCTCGAAACTATTCAGATCCCCATCGTAGCCGAGACTCCTGAATATCATGACAGCACAGTGGACTGATGCGTGCAGGCGCTCTAGTCCAACAGGATCTAGTTGGGAGGGCGCAGGGCAGGAGAAGATCTCTTGCAGGTACGCGTGTACAACATCTTCCTGGCGGCCAAACCTGTCCTGCAGAGCATGCACCGCCTCTTCATATAGGGCCCCATCAAACATCATCCCACTGATGGTGAGCTTAGCAGTACCCACCACTGATGCTTGCAGGTGTATCAGTTTTTCTGTTGGGGAGAGTGAGATCTGTTCATGTACTAAAACTTTAAAAGAAGCCCACCACTTCGGCCACTCGGCCGACTCGCCGCCGAACTTCGGCAGAGTCAAGCGCGGAAGACTATTGTGCAGCAGCGATGGAACACAAGGCGCCCCTTGGGCGACTGCATCACTGGCTGTGGGTCGAAACTGACCGGCTAGTTCAGTAGTGGGTGCCCCTCGGGCAGCTCCAACAGCCGGTGGGGGAACATGACTGTAATAGAACAAATCAGCTGTGTCGGCGCCGAGTGCCCCTTGGGCAGCTCCAACGGCCGGTGAGATGGTGTGGCTGGGACGTGACGAACCAGCTTCTTCAACAGTGGCTACCCCTTGGACAGCTCCAACGGCCGGTGAGATGGTGTGGCTTGGACGAGACGGACCGGCTACTTCAACAGTGGCTACCCCTTGGACAGCTCCAACGGCCGGTGAGATGGTGTGGCTGGGACGAGACGGACCGGCTACTTCAACAGTGGCTACCCCTTGGACAGCTCCAACGGCCGGTGAGATGGTGTGGCTGGGACGAGACAGACCGGCTACTTCAACAGTGGCTGCCCCTTGGACAGCTCGTGCAGCTGGTGGGATGGCTCGGCTGAGATGAGTCGAACCAGCTTCTTCACTAGGTGCCCCTTGGGCTTCCCAGACCTTGGTCTCACCACAGAAATAATTTCTCCGGTCCCACGCTAGGTCATCTTCAGCTGCTCTTGCCAACTGTGCACGCAGCTCGGCGGCTGCATGAGCATCCTTTGCTTCTTGTAGCTTCATCTTCCTCTGGATCTGTTGCTCTTCCTTCTCCGTCTCAAGCCTTTGGTGCAGCTGCTCCAGCTCTAGCTGCTTCACCTTGGCCTCTATCTCTGCCAGCCGGGATGCTGACGTCTTGTCTGATGCTGCAGAGTCTGACGCCTGCTTTGATGCAACTGATGGTGGATCATCCTTCCTCTCCTTCAAATGCACTTCAATCCGGGTCACGGCTTCTTCATGCTGCCTGTCTGCTTCTGCTTGATACACTCTTGCCTGATCAACTTCCTCTTGAGATGTCAGCACAGAAACTAAACTATCAGTCATCTCCTCCAACTGCTCGAGTGCCTGATCAAGCTCATGGACGATTGACGCTAGCTGAGTCCGACTACCTCTGGTATCAATCAAGACGAAAGCCCTCCTCCTGACCCTGGTCAGTGCAGCTAACAATCTGCCTCGCTTCTGTTTCAATTGTGCTACAGACATGTTCTGGATTTAACAGCACAACACCAATCAGGAACTGAGTCACAATTGCAATTCTCAGCAGCAAGTACAAAACTTCTCGCCACAAGAAACTGTCATTTACACGACCTACACCCTGAGAAGCCTCTTCGGGCGATCAAGACAGAATCTTCAAATGAGATACACTCATACCATCATGTTCATCATGTTCGGAAAGTCCTTGGGCATTCTGACAAACTTTTGCATAGACCTACAACCATATCACTAGGCTGTGGAAACTTTGAAACTGTTGTGGGAAACGGTTAGGGCTTTGAGACACTACAAATAAAAACAAATAAATAATATATTCAGGCTTTCATAGCAAAAGGGTCATCTGGCAGCGTGCCAAGGGCGAAAACAATATGGTAAGGCGAAGTTGTTTAGGTGAACAATTGGTGGTAGGAACGGACAAATAAGACAGCGGCATAGCGGAGAAATGCGGACCGTAGATAGAAGTAGTAGCAGTGTAGCAACGTAGAATGTAGAATGTAGAATGTAGGTAGGTTTCTGAAATCAGCCAGAAACGCATTTTCACTCTCTATCCGATAGACATGGGTCTACCTATCGCCGAAATATCTCTAATATCATATCAGGCTCATATCACATTAACAATGCAATAGAAACGGCAAATAATATAAAATAATGAAAGAACATACCAAAGTTTTTCCACCGAATCACATTGTGGCGAACGGCGGCGCACAAACTCCATGCGTCTCACGCCGGCGCCACACAGACTGCTGTCAATTTAGCAGCACTTTGATTATCCAACTACAGTTTGATATTCAGGGTGCGTCGATTTCGCCCAAACTTGCCCCAGGGACCAAGTCTGACACGCTGAGCACGAATCTGGTGTCAGAAATCCGCTATTCTCAACCGATCACCCAAATTTACCGTTTTTGAGTTCGTCCATCTACAGATTGACAAACTCCAGGGGCCATCGATTTGGCCCAAAAATGGGTCTAGGGGACCAAGTCTGACACGCTGAGCACGAATCTGGTGTCAGAAATCCGCTATTCTCAACTGATCACCCAATTTTACCGTTTTTGAGTTCGTCCATCTACAGATTGACAAACTCCAGGGGCCATCAATTTGGCCCAAAAATGGGTCTAGGGGACCAAGTGTGACACGCTGAGCACGAATCTGGTGTCAGAAATCCGCTTTTCTCAACCGATCACCCAAATTTACCGTTTTTGAGTTCGTCCATCTACAGATTGACAAACTCCAGGGGCCATCCATTTGGCCCAAAAATGGGCTAGGGAGACCAAGTCTGACACGCTGAGCACGAATCTGGTGTCAGAAATCCGCTATTCTCAACCGATCACCCAAATTTACCGTTTTTCAGTTCGTCCATCTACAGATTGACAAACTCCAGGGGCCATCGATTTTGCCCAAAAACGAGTCTAGGGGACCAAGTCTGACACGCTGAGCACGAAGCTGGTGTCAGAAATCCGCTATTCTCAACCAATCACCCAAATTTACCGTTTTTGAGTTCGTGCATCAACAGATTGACAAACTCCAGGGGCCATCGATTTCGCCCAAAAATTGGTCTAGGGGACCAAGTGTGACACGCTGAGCACGAATCTGGTGTCAGAAATCCGTTTTTCTCAACCGATCACCCAAATTTACCGTTTTTGAGTTCGTCCATCTACAGATTGACAAACTCCAGGGGCCATCGATTTGGCCCAAAAATGGGTCTAGGGGATCAAATCTCACACGCTGAGCACGAATCTGGTGTCAAAAATCCGCTATTCTCAACCGATCACCCAAATTTACCGTTTTTGAGTTCGTCCATCTACAGATTGACAAACTCCAGGGGCCATCGATTTGGCCCAAAAACGATTCTAGGGGACCAAGTCTGACACGCTGAGCACGAATCTGGTGTCAGAAATCCGCTATTCTCAACCGATCACCCAAATTTACCGTTTTTGAGTTCGTCCATCTACAGATTGACAATCTCCAGGGGCCATCGATTTCGCCCAAAAATGGGTCTAGGGGACCAAGTCTGACACGCTGAGCACGGATCTGGTGTCAGAAATCCGCTATTCTCAACCGATCACCCAAATTTACCGTTTTTGAGTTCGTCCATCAACAGATTGACAAACTCCAGGGGCCATCGATTTTGCCCAAAAACGAGTCTAGGGGACCAAGTCTGACACGCTGAGCACGAATCTGGTGTCAGAAATCCGCTATTCTCAACCGATCACCCAAATTTACCGTTTTTGAGTTCGTCCATCTACAGATTGACAAACTCCAGGGGCCATCGATTTCGCCCAAAAATGGGTCTAGGGGACCAAGTGTGACACGCTGAGGACGAATCTGGTGTCAAAAATCCGTTTTTCTCAACCGATCACCCAAATTTACCGTTTTTGAGTTCGTCCATCTACAGATTGACAAACTCCAGGGGCCATCAATTTGGCCCAAAAATGGGTCTAGTAGGGGACCAAGTCTGACACACTGAGCACGAATCTGGTGTCAGAAATCCGCTATTCTCAATCTCAATCAATCTGTAGATGGACGAACTCAAAAACGGTAAATTTGGGTGATCGGTTCAGAATAGCGGATTTCTGACACCAGATTCGTGCTCAGCGTGTCACACTTGGTCCCCTACACGCATTTTTGGGCGAAATCGATGGCCCCTGGAGTTTGTCAATCTGTAGATGGACGAACTCAAAAACGGTAAATTTGGGTGATCGGTCGAGAATAGCGGATTTCTGACACCAGATTCGTGCTCAGCGTGTCAGACTTGGTCCCCTAGACCTATTTTTGGGCCAAATCGATGGCCCCTGGAGTTTGTCAATCTGTAGATGGACGAACTCAAAAACGGTAAATTTGGGTGATCGGTTGAGAATAGCGGATTTTTGACACCAGATTCGTGCTCAGCGTGTCAGACTTGGTCCCCTAGACCCATTTTTGGGCCAAATCGATGGCCCCTGTAGTTTGTCAATCTGTAGGTAGATGGACGAACTCAAAAACGGTAAATTTGGGTGATCGGTTGAGAATAGCGGATTTCTGACACCAGATTCGTGCTCAGCGTGTCATACTTGGTCCCCTAGACCCATTTTTGGGCGAAATCGATGGCCCCTGGAGTTTGTCAATCTGTAGATGGACGAACTCAAAAACGGTAAATTTGGGTGATCAGTTGAAAATAGCGGATTTCTGACACCAGATTCGTGCTCAGCGTGTCAGACTTGGTCCCCTAGACCTATTTTTGGGCCAAATCGATGGCCCCTGGAGTTTGTCAATCTGTAGATGGACGAACTCAAAAACGGTAAATTTGGGTGATCGGTTGAGAATAGCGGATTTTTGACACCAGATTCGTGCTCAGCGTGTCAGACTTGGTCCCCTAGACCCATTTTTGGGCCAAATCGATGGCCCCTGTAGTTTGTCAATCTGTAGGTAGATGGACGAACTCAAAAACGGTAAATTTGGGTGATCGGTTGAGAATAGCGGATTTCTGACACCAGATTCGTGCTCAGCGTGTCATACTTGGTCCCCTAGACCCATTTTTGGGCGAAATCGATGGCCCCTGGAGTTTGTCAATCTGTAGATGGACGAACTCAAAAACGGTAAATTTGGGTGATCAGTTGAAAATAGCGGATTTCTGACACCAGATTCGTGCTCAGCGTGTCAGACTTGGTCCCCTAGACCCATTTTTGGGCGAAATCGATGGCCCCTGGAGTTTGTCAATCTGTAGATGGACGAACTCAGAAACGGTAAATTTGGGTGATCGGTTGAGAATGGCGGATTTCTAACACCAGATTCGTGCTCAGCGTGTCACACTTGGTCCCCTAGATCCATTTTTGGGCGAAATCGATGGCACCTGGAGTTTGTCAATCTGTAGATGGACGAACTCAAAAACGGTAAATTTGGGTGGTCGGTTGAGAATAGCGGATTTCTGACACCAGATTCGTGCTCAGCGTGTCAGGCTTGGTCCCGTAGACCCATTTTTCGGCAAAATCGATGGCCCCTGGAGTTTGTCAATCTGTAGATGGACGAACTCACAAACGGTAAATTTGGGTGATCGGTTGAGAATAGCGGATTTCTGACTCCAGATTCGTGCTCAGCGTGTCAGACTTGGTCCCGTAGACCCATTTTTGGGCAAAATCGATGGCCCCTGGAGTTTGTCAATCTGTAGATGGACAAACTCAAAAACGGTAAATTTGGGTGATCGGTTGAGAATAGCAGATTTCTGACACCAGAATTGTGCTCAGCGTGTCAGACTTGGTCCCGTAGACCCATTTTTGGGCGAAATCGAGGGCCCCTGGAGTTTGTCAATCTGTAGATGGACGAACTGAAAAACGGTAAATTTGTGTGATCGGTTGAGAATAGCGGATTTCTGACACCAGATTCGTGCTCAGCGTGACAAACTTGGTCCCTGGGGTAGGTTTGGGCGAAATCGGCGCACCCTGAATATCAAACTGTAGTTGGATAATCAAACTGCTGCTAAATTGACAGCAGTGCCACACAGCCAAAAAACGCCACGTCGATGGGCGGCGCACTGGACTCTCTGCGCCACCACTGGCTTAGGGTGGCGCCACCATCCAATGGTCAGTACGAACATCGTCGCCCCCTGTGTCCACAACTAGCGCCACCTGTCGAGCAACGCACAGGCCAACCCGCTCCGGCTCAGTCCGCTACAGTAGCAAAGTATGCGATGAACTACCCAGAATAACACAATAACTTTTGCTTCAGCAAAAGCTAGCGAGGGCTTTAGCTTCAGCTTCAGCAGCAAGGGCAAGAGCTTTTTTCCTTCAGCATCTTCCGATTCATCATGTTTTTCATATGAGTTAACAATAATGTTTACCACACGCTCAATATTAATGGGAACAGTACACGGCAGACCCATCAATTTTTGACACTGAACCTTTCATCCGTGAATGCTTTAGCAAAATCAAAACTTAAAAACAGCGCGAGTGGCAGAGTCAAACAAACAACCTCTTTAACATATAGATATAACATGTAATCGGTGGTGCGCCAGATGCGCCGTTATTGTCAACTGCAGAAGGTGACATGTGACGTAACAGCATCAAAAGCGTCAAGAACTTTAAAAAACATGTTTTCTATTTGTCTTCCCCCATTTCTCTCAGCATATTTATTTTATGAGGAAATTGTTTGCACTATAAATTATGTGAAAATAGTTTGATCATTTCTATACATTCTTAAAAAATCGAGTTCCCAACCTCATTATTATTGCTTTTATGTATCCTCGAAAGATACAGGTGCTTGTCATCAAAGGATCTGGAGAATCGTTGCCTTTGACAATGTCGCTATTTCATTCGCGATGCAGCCATAGGCGCGGGAGCCGGGGGGGCAGTGGGGGCAGCTTGCCCCCCCAACTCTGGGGCCGGGGGGCGGTGCCCCCACAGCTTTGAGACGGAATACCACACTTTGTTTTGCAAATGTTTTCTTTTTTTGTTGAAAAAGCCGAGGGGTGAAAAATAAGTGGCCTAAAACCAGTGAGAAAACTAGATTTGGGGGTACCCTAGGTTAATCTCTATCATGGCGTGCCCCCCCAGTCGGAAAGTAGTTCCCGCGCCCCTGGATGCAGCAGACCAACCGAACTTTTCGCAACTTTGGTACGTCTCGATTAACAATGAAATTGTACATTGCTTTGCATAAGGTACGATCGAAGCAGGGAAGCTGACACAATATGCAGATTGAAAAGCTTCTGCATTTTCCATTAGTTGAATGTTTAACTATTCATCTTTCCGAGTTAGGGAAGTTTT